GTTGGTGGTTCAGTGAGATGCTAAGATGAAGATGTGAGAAACGCTCCAGGATACCAAAGCTCGTGCCAGGCTCCGGCCTAGTCCTTTTCATTCATCAAGTGACTCTGACTCAAACTGGTTCTTTCTCGTCAACCAACTTCAGCAAGATCTTGGGGCCGTAAGATCGCATCAGGAATCTTTGTTCATACAGACGTGCAAGTATCAAACTTAGTCGATTTAATTGATGCATTAAGTATCAGTTACACCTTTTTACAAGGTTTGTTTGAACTAAGAATCTGACGTTTTCCCTCAGGTTTTAGATCTGTTGAATATGCAAAGTGTTTCATAAAATTCATTTAAACTTTTAAACTTTAACCCTTTTCTATACCAACTGTATGTGTGTGTGTGTGTGTGTGTATGTGTATGTTAGACCAGTTTATGTGTTTATGTAGTATGTTAGACTAGTTTAAGTGTTTATGTAGTTAATAAAACCTTACTTGTATCACACTTGACGTGTTCAGTGTTTACTCATAACCGGAGTCAATAATCATGCAGATTTACGTTACAAGCTTATAGAATTGTACAGTAAGAAAGTTATTTCCCTTAACCAGGAAATTAACGTTCTTAGAATTGACAAGACAGTTGACCCTGAGTGGTCAGCTAAATATCTACAGTGGATCTAAAATATGAATAGTTAATTATAACTAGTTATGGTTAATTATTCATATTTCCCCATGAGCTGATTCGCTACAACTATGTGCCAAAAACAATCTTGATTGTTCTTGAAATCTTAAGATGATCTATCAGCTAAAACCAGCGAGAAACCAACCACCGGGGTTTCAAACAAAGCTAGTGGCTTACAATGGATTTTCCAGTAAGGAAATACATACAATTTCCATCTAACCTGTACTCTAACCTCCTATCCTCTCTAAAATTACAGCAAATAATTAAAGGGGTCATATGATGCGATTTCAATTTTTCCTTTCTCTTTGGATGTGCTTCATTGTGAAATCGAAACTACTTTGTTTGGCCTTCCAAAAGAGGACGATATCGCTTCATCATGCCTGGACCTGATCTGTGCTGGTCGCTGAGAAAATACTTCAACTTCCTGCTGTCGATCGCCGGATTGGCTTTCATCGTGGACGAAGCGGAGTCCAGCCCGGGGTCGTCACAATATGGTAAGGGACATAACATTTCTGTCACATGCTTGAGGAATTCGGCCAATCACAACGCACTGGATAGCTGGCCAATCAGAGCACACCTCGCTTTTTCAGACCGATGAACTTTGTAAAAATCAACGCGTTTCAGAAAGGCGGGGCATAGAGGAGAAACAATAATGTACAGTATGTGGAAAATAATGTGTTTTTTTAACCTTAAACCGCATAAACACATTTCATTACACCAAATACACAAAATAATGTTCTTTTTAGCAGCATCATATGACCCCTTTAAGTAAATCTCAGATGTACCATACCAATTTTTTGCCTCTCTTTCTCTCCCTCTTGACCTCTGTCCATGTCTGCGTTAAAATGCTTGTTCTAGATCTCCTTTCTGGCATGCTACTAGTCACTGAACGTTTTCTCTGGTTACGCCGTATTGCTTTCGTCTCTGAACCCCTATTGTTTCAGAATGGCTTTGCTTCCTGTTTTGAGGGTGGCTGGGCTACGGTGGGGTTTCCCTGGCCTGAATGACAACATACACCTTAACGACTCAAAATAATCACCCAAGGAGCAGCAGAGCATCTCAGAAACGAAGCACTGTAGAGGAACATTTTATTTAAAAAATAGACATAAATTACAGTAGAAATGTCCATTTGTCCATAAAAATAACTGAAGCAGGTCTCAATTCGCTCCTCATTTAATTTCATTGCTCTCTAAGAGAATTAAATAGATTTTGCTTTGCTACATATTCACTTAGCTTTATACTGTATATATTCATCATTTTAAATTTTGGGGTTGGTAAGAAATTTCTTATACTCACCAAGGCTGCAATTATTTTATTACAAATACAGTAAAAACAATAATATTATAAAATATTATTTAATCCAGTCATTAATCCAGTCTTCAGTGTCACAAGATCCTTCAGAAATCATTCTAATATGCTGATTTGCTGCTAAAGTAACATTTCCTATTATTATCATCAATCCTGAAAACATTTGTGCTGCTTAATATTTTTGTGAAAACCGTGATACATTTGTTTCAGGATTTTTGATGAATATAAAGAACAGCATTTATTTGAAGTAGAAACTATTTGTCACATTCGAAAAGTCTGTCACTTTTTTCTCGATTGAATGAATCCTTGCTCAATAAAAGTATCAATTAAAATTGTATTGACACCAAACCGTTAAATGGTAGTGTATATATATATATATTACATTATATACACATACATAGCTGACAGACTCTTTATAATATGAAATACATGCCCTTTCAAGCTACACCACTACAGCCTTATGCATGCAAACAGATGTCTTTTGCAGTTGCACTGTGACTCACTTTAGCAGTGTTTTAAGTGCTTTACCTTTATCCAGTGTTTATGTTATCCAGTGCTTCCTTAAAACCAATTAGCAAGTCATTCAGACAACCCACTAAGTTCATTTTAAAATATGTAGTTTTTTTCACATCCTTGTTCCCTTTTCCTTTTCCTTCTACGAAATATGAAATAAAACAGCATCTTTATGCATATAGCCTACATTTATTGAATTCTCTTTAAGATCTAGTGTAAATCTGATCCCACTCAAAGGTGTTTGGTTCAAATGGCCTTTGCTCTCTCTCTCTAGCTGTGTACAGAGGCACAAACTACATGTTCCAACACCCACACAGGCTCTCAGTGCAATCAATACCCAGACCAGAGCAGCCGAGCATAGAGCAGCTCATCAGTGAGTGGCTCGTACTGTCTGGTCTTGAAATCTGATCTCGACGACAAAATAAGGAAGAAGCTAAAAACAATAGTAAAACAGAGAACAAGAAATGAGGCATGAGCACAGCTAAACAGGAAAGGGTGTGAGAGTGCAACAGCTATTCAGGTTTAATGGAAGTTATGTTTGTAGCATAATAATTTGAACTTGTTCCACATTATACATATATAACATTATACATATTAACATGAGACTAATGTGATAAAACACTACTAACCCTGTCTGTGCAAAGTTAATTTCAATACTTCAACTCTTCCATGGCAACAAAAAGTCAAGAAGCTAAAATACAGCTAAAATAACCTTTGACCGCTTTTAAACCCTTCAAGACCGTCACCCTGTTTACTCTTATTGTAAATGCCTGGCTGGAACCACGATTTTGTTAAAAACTGAAAATTATCTTCTGTGGTAATCGACACTAT